ATGGTTAATCAACTTAACCCTCACCGCACCTTATATCACCTTGAGACAAGATGGTACTGTCTCCGAGATTAAGAACAACGGCATAATTATAGGAGCGTTCGTTCCGCACCGCCACAAGATATTAGCAGCAGGAGAGTTAGTTTCTGAATCTCATAATATATATATCGCACCAATACCAAACCACTCGGGCAACATGGTAACTTCCAAGGAGAGAGTGAAGACATCAATCAGCTTACTTAAGCACCAAGAGGTCTTTAGAAATGTAGCGGAAAACTTCACATTCATAATAGAAGTCTATCTCGGAGATGCCTCGTTTCCTGGGTATCGTAACATTATAGATGATATGTTGATACGATGGGAAGATAGGGCTAGTAACCAACGTTGTCGTATTATTAAGGTATCGGGAAACGCCCCTGTACCAAGTCTTGATGGGGTTCGTCTCCTTAATGGGCGTAGAGCTAAGACCCGGTTTTTTTACACGCACGCTGATCTAAGTATTATCGGCTTTAAGTACATTAATCGAAGGTTAAATAAAACCCAATTAAAATACATTATGGGGTTGGACTATATCCCCGAACTAGTACCAGAACGAAACTAGATCGTCTATTAACTGAAAACCCAATTAAAATATCTTTAGTAATATATATTATAGGATGGGACTGTACCCAGTCGTAGAGGAAGTAGCGAAGACCTTAGAAACCGTCGACGGGTTCCGCTTGAGGCAATTATGTGATGTAAGACGTGAATTAGAACAAGATCGGGATAAGCGTAAGGCATTATATAAGAAATACCATAGGGTTTTCAATGTCGTGGACGGGGTTGATACCACCCTTATGACAACCAGCATGGGACTAGGGGCGGTAGGTGTTGGGTTATTAACCACCATCGTGGCCGCACCTATAGTGCTGGGACTTGAAATAACGGCTGGAGTGACAGGAGTGTTAGGGTTGATACTTAAATACACATCACGCAGACTGCATCGTAAGGCATTGAAGCATGATGAAATTAGAATTCTAGCTGAAGCAAAGCTGAACACGGTGAGTGAGCGTATTTCAGCGGCACTCACTGACAACAAAATCTCGGAGGAGGAATTTCGTTCAATCCTCTCTGAACTCGACAAGTACTGTAAGATGAAACAAGAAATCCGGTCCAAGTCCCGTAAAAGTACTACTATTAGCGAAGCCGAGAAAAAAAAGTACATAGAACAGGGAGTACAAAAAGCCCGACAAGCCTTTATTACCAACACCAAAAATATAACAGACGATTTACGTTAAACTGTTTCATTGAGGCCAACGTGACATAGCGACATGTTAACATAGATAAAATGAAAAATGCACTATGATGGATGGGTCAGATAGGAATTATTGATTCCAGACAACGTGTCACGTGATGTGTGGGTGCGCATGATCTACCCGTTAAACTGACCTACTTCAGCTAAGTCCGCGGTAGCTCAGTCGACCCATTATGTATAGTCTGCGCAAGCTGTGTATATGGGTTCGTATCCCGCCGTTTCGTGTGATATGAGAGACACAATTCCCCTTGGGGAATACATTTCTTTGGGAATTGGGACATTTTGCTTGAAAAAGTCTTATTTTATGAAATAAAGCTCTGTAGTAGAGGGTAATGGGAAGGGTCCAACTAAGACTTTATCTATTAAATGAAGCTTTAGATTACCCTGATCCAGAAGCCTCACTCTGTCTACTACTTCTCGCAATCTGCTTGAGCTCTCGGACAGTAGGCATTGTTATACCCATGTGTTACAATCTCTAATTGGCCGCCAACAAGGGATGTAACTCCTCCAACCTTAATCAAATCCCCCGCCCAGCGCTATATTTAGAATAACCGTATCGATTCTGGGTTCAGGATAGCTTTCCCGTTTTATTATTTCCAGAACGTTGCGGATTCACGTATATATATTAGCTGATTCAGTCAATACTTTTTCTCTGAAGACACCCAGCTTTGTAGTAACAATCATTTGAAAGTTGATGTGTCCCAATTCGTTTATTTCCTCTTCGAGTTTGCAAATGACCAGAGGTCTGATGTTATAAATACTACATTTACCCGGAAACATCAACCAGCTTCTCAGGCCAAAAGCCGGGGGTGGAATTCGAATGAATTGAATAGCAGGCATTATTATACCTAGGTGTACACAGTCTCTAATTGGGTAAGGGAGGTAACTCCTCCAGCTCTAAGTAAAAATAATGAGAGCTACACCTCCATACTAAGGAGGCGCCTACATTCGTTTATGTAGTCCTTTTTCTTCGTGAGATAAGCTGGTGCCTGACTACGTTTGCCCCGTGGGCTTTACATAAACAGTAGTGACATTTCACTCCAATACCGCACACGGAACACGTGTAGGTTATGAAACACCTCCTATGAAAACAGCAGTACCCCTCCATCCTTCATTTCCTACCGCAGGGCTCGGTCTTCCCCATAAGTATGTACTGGCATCGGTACGGGGCAGGTCTCATCTTTGGTATACTCATATGGGGACTTAGTTTATTTGCTTTACGATCAACGCAGTCACTGCTAAGACCCAGCATGACGAAGGCCAGTTCTCGGTCCTTTGCCCCGGGATGGTGTGTAGTACTGAGCGAGTGTGGGTTCCTCGATTGGTTCGAGCTGTTTGCCGGTTAGTAGGTAGTATTCTCTCGCTGCGTCGTCGACGTCATGGAACGTTTTAACGGCATGGTTCTCACGCTGGAGTCGTTCGTTAATGTAATTGAGCCAATATTGTGTCGTTTTCGTTCCGCCTCTATCTCGGCCGCGTTCGACTCGAGAAGAGGAAATTGCTCCAGGAAAATGCCAGAGCGTTTACTAACGCCCCGCCAACCATCATGGCGATCGTAGCCATCCTATATATAGTTACATTTGCTTCAAAATATTTTCCGTATGATCCCTTGTTTCACGAGGATGTCCTTGGTGGCCATCGCCATACCCAGGTTCATTATGAGCATTCCCATATCCTGCAGGTTGAAATCTAGCTTGATAGTCGGTTCTTTGAGCACCATTTTAGTCAAACGAGCGTACCCTATGGCTAGACTGGCGACCACGGTGGCGTGGTATGCATCGTTGACGAACGTTTTCCCCTCAGACATTATGTATATGATATAAAAATATATATTTATAACATGATATGTGGGTTGACCTCTAATTGTGGTTGTGGTGCTGGGGGTGGAGTGTTGGGTTGTGTATTATATAACATGAATAATGAGAGAGCCTCGGCGACAGTTGCGCCTGCAATCCACAGGAGTGGAGGGCTCCACATGTAGTTACTCTTGTGATGCTTGGTTAAACCTGCTTTTCTACCAGCGGCGACTCTCTTAGGGTTCTTCTTCCTGGTGACTGTAGGATTCTCCTACTGGGGAGGATTCTCCTCCTGGGGAGGGTTCCCCTCGTTCCCCTCCTGTGGAATTGGGCTCATTTCTTGGACAGCATCCATCTTGTATACCATTACTATTATTTTTCCCTCCTTAAATTGGCAATGCTTTGTTGTGATGATCGCCGCCGTCACCGGGCTAAAACCATACCGTATTTGTGGTACAAGCACGCAGCCTCACAGAGCTCAAGGCGGTTCAATAAACGGGTCTTTCTAGAGGTCTTCCACAGGTAAAGTCGACGCTCCGGGGAATGGGAAGAAAGTACGACGCACTACCAGTGTAGATCTGGGTCATAGCCGATCCTATAGTTTTCGTCATCTTGGCCTTCCGAGTCTAGCCTCATATCTTGCGTATAGCTTTATCGATTTCTTCGGCTGACATTTTGTGAATTTTATCGGGAGTGTAGTCCCCAAAGTATTGTTTAGCTTTACGATTGTCGTCACTCTTATCATCCTGCGGCACCAACAGTTGTTCGAGCAGTTCATCACACTCCATCTTATAATGTAATAAGCAAGTTTTAGTTTTAATAATATAATACCCCATGCAGTTGAAACATAGCGAGATGAAGGTTAAGTTGCACACGATGAACACTTAAAAAAAAGTCATAACTATAACTGGTAAGTGCTAAACGCTTAGTTTTACTTAGCATTTGCTAAGCATTGCTAAGCTAAAACACCCTATAGGCCACGGGTTAGTCGGTCTTGAGCACGAGCTTAGCATGCTTAGTTTCAGCGAGCTGTTTCTTCACACGTTCTCGTTCTAGTCTGTTCATCACATCGTTCTCTCTCAAACACTCCTTGAACGAATCCCTGTCCTTGCAGTGGAATAAGGCCACCCATCGCATCTGCTCCCTAAAGGTCTTTCAACACCGAGTTGAACTTCTGCGTTAGCACCCAGACGCTGTGCTTTATGCGTTAGCCGCCGGAGAAGCCAGGTACGATAGCATGTCTCTTTTTTGTTATCTCGATTACTGCTGGAGTCGTCCAATATGAACAGCGTCGACTCCCCTTTAAATTTTCCGTGATAAACCTTCAACCAGTCCTGCAGACGTGTCCCCGGGTCGACTCTGTGTACGTCCGGGTCCGTCATCACCCAAGGTCTTTCTGTGTACGTTCTATTCATGTGCAAAGTAGGGCACATGATAACGATTTGTCAAACACATCCCGGTAGTACCCCTCCAGCATATCCAACACGAAAACGGGGTAGATCAATAGATGGCTTGCACGAATCTCCCATTGTCTATATTAAGTTGCGCGGCCATAATCATGTACAGATATAATTTCAACTTGCCCGCGGGTTGAGCCTTCTTGGTGATCTGGATGGTTATCCCCTCGCTGCCATGGTCGATGCGGCGACCGCTGCCGTGCAATTTATCGTCGTCCATGGATCACATGTCCAACAATTGCGCGTACTTGGTGGTTAGGTATTCCCCGATCTGCACAGAGGATAGGTCCAGGTCCTTGGCTATGTGTGGGTGTTGTTTGATAGCCGGTAGCTTTTTTATCTCATCCCACTGCTGGTATGCCCCTCATACCATGGCTGAACAGCTGGTTGGGCACTCCTCGATGGTCACTTCCACCTTTCAATCTTCGGGGTTGAAAACTTCGCTGTCCCTTCGAAATGGCTCAATCCTCCACGGGGACGACCAGGATCCCTTTCATCAATCATGCCGGCACGGATGAGAACGGCACGCTGCGATTGAAGGCTCACAGGGAGATCAATCTCGTAAACAAACGCACGAGAGAACCGCTTGCCTTATCAACACTCATCAATTGCGATGGTGGGCAACGGATCCGTGATGCACTAAACCTCATAGATTATTGGCCCAAGCTTCTCCCGAAGGCCGTCCAAGATCTGCAAGCAGCCAGGGCCGAACTCAACGATGAGCCCCAACGTGCCATCGATGAATTGTTGGCCACCTACCATAACAAACCCTTACCCGGGTTCAAATTTAACGTTCGGGAACTGTGGGGGCTGGACAAGGCCATGCAAACCATTCGTGGGTCACTCGTGGACAACACTGCCAAACTGGATGCGATAGACGCCCACATCGCCCGTGAAAAGGCCAAACTCTGCGAAACGGAGGATGAGTCTCTGAAAGCCACCATCGAGGAACGAATACGTAAAATTTGGAAGAGGAAGGATGACCCGGCTGGAAACGGCGTCCTCCTTCCGAGAACAGCTTCGATCCCAGATCAGCCATGTGCGGGAAACCATTGATCGAGTCCTCTACCAGGACACCACGCTAGCTGACAGGATCCAAATCCTCTTCCGAGAGCAAGGGATCACCATCGGCAGCATTCTGACGGCATTGGGCTTCATCATATCAACCCTGGTCGTGTCGCTGAGTGGGGGTACACCAAGTGGTGGTACACCCACCCCCACCAAGCCCATCAGGCGATGTCAGAGACTGGGTAAAAAAAACATCTGAAATCACTCGGCGAAGCTCTGGCTAAACTTGTTGGTAAGGCTGCCGAAGCCCCAAGCCCGCATCCTGGGTATCATGGTCGTGGCTGCTCAGCACGCTGTCGAAAACAGTCACGTGGCTCGGTCAAAACCTGTGGGCAGCCATTGCCGCCGCCGCGGGCCGGGCTGGTGTATGTGAAGCGCGACTAAGGAATTTTAATCAAAGGAGACCCAAACCGGTCATGCGATCCCGCCAACCACCAGCGCTGTTTTACGGTCGATGTGCTGCTGATTGACGCCTGCACGTGTGGGGTTGGGGCTGTGGGGTGTGGGTTGAACCCTAGGCTCTGGGGGGTGGCGCCACTATACCCGTCTCCACCAGTCGTAGGGGTGGGACGTGACTCACGTTGATGCCTGCTTCGACGCCAACTTTTGGTCGGCCGTGGCTAATATGATTTTGTTGTTGTAGCCCACCACTTTGTTGATTCTCAGTCGCGATGTCGCCGGAGCCATGTACAGTCCCACGCTGAACACGTGAAGTCGACTTTTCGACCGAAATGCGTATTCCAACACGCCTTGGTAGCGTTTCGATGGCACCCGTAGATCGACCGGGCAGCGATGGCATCCTCGACGCTGGACACTTAACTGTTTCTGCGCTGCCTAAAGCAGTACCCGTACCAATGATACCGGAACGCGTTTGATTCTGAGTGCCCAGCACGGCCCACACATACGTTTAAGCGTTCGATGCCGGCATGAGTAAACCCTCTCGACGTGTCCAGCATGAACTTTTTCCAGTCATCCGCGGGCCCCTGCTCGAACCTCCAGACTCGGTAATCCTTGCTGTCATCGAAAGCCATGTAACGATCATCCTTCTCGTTTGTTGCGATGTGATGATACGACTTGTACCCCCATTCTTTCATCTTTTCGCTGGCTTCCACGAGGGGCGTGTTGTGAATGATAGGGATACCCAACCCGTGGTTCGGGCCCGGCAAACACCAATCCATCTTCGGGTCTAGTTCGAATTCGTTGCAAATGCGTTCGTAGGCCCGTCTATCGTACTGGTTGTTTACTGCGTCCCATGCTTTGTCCTGTCCTGATCTCTTTGAGGATACGCCTGACCTGGTAGTACACGTGAAACGTGAACACAGACCTACCTTAGCGGACCTCGAGAGCGTCACTCAAGGACAAGCCGCGACTTCGCTGTAGCACCACACGGGCGAAGTTGAGTTGATTCTGCCAGAACTGCATAGGGTGTTGAACCAGGTGTGGGACTACCTTAGCGTTAGTCACCGAAAACCTATACCTGTCAAACACATCTATAAACTGGGCTCTGAAATACAGCCAAGCCGCGACCACGATCTTCATGTGCGGGAAATCTATGTCCAGTTTAGGGTAAAACACTCCCGGTTTGTACATTTTTAAAGTATTATATAATGGGTATATATACTCTAATATGTACGTGACACATCCAGGGATAACGAGTCAGTTCAGCTGATGCACGCGATCGATAACACGTCGGGCCAACTCGAAGACGCACTCTGCGATATCACCTACCTGCCGCGATGGACTAACATCAACGCCAGCAACAATAAGCTGTTCGCCAGTGGCGCGCGAACCAGATAACTGGACGGCTACTACAGCATGTGCTCTCGCTTTAGCTTAATTTTAGGTCTTCAAACCCTTGGGAGCTGAACTCAACGTGAACGACTCAAACGGCACAGTGGTGTTAACCAAAAACGGAATAAACCCCTTGAGGCTCGGCCGACCATTGGAGAGGACACTCCAGGATACCTCAGGACGAGATAAAACCCACAACTACTGTCACAGGCACGAAGTTACCCGACCTAGTACCGTACCAAGAGCTGTGCATTCATCTCGGTCAGCTGAGCACCCACGGACAACATTCAAGGTGGCCACCCTTCCATGATACTGAGAGCCGTGACGGTGAAAACGGAGAAGTACAAAGACGGCAGAACCAAGTCGTTTTCATCGCGGCAGTACAAGATGTTAACTTGGGGCACTATCCCTGAGTTGGTAATGTCAGTGTTAGATATAAAGCATAATCCTGTGAATATAGGATACCTCAGCATAACGCTGCACATAAAATGACAAGCGCACAAGGTCCCGGAATGAAGTTGAAAAAATGCGTCAATGTGGGGATCTCCGACCTCGGGGACACGCGGGTTCGACGACCCCGGAGTAGATGGTAAACTATACGGCCTTGCAGCTTAAAAACAGTATTTACAAACGCGTTTGAAGTCCCTCCATCTGTAGAACCCTTAGGTGATATAGTAGATACCTTTCAGGAGCGGCCCTCAACATTCTGGTCTTCGACCTAGTCCGCATCGGGTGATGATAGATGGGCGGCATACCAATCGTTCGAGGCAAACTGTTCGACTTAGAAGATGTTGAGAGAACGGCCGTTGTTAGAAACAAGCAGTATACCCTCGTCTCACCGACGCCCGACAAGTGGCTGTTGTTACCCGCCAAAGCTCCACTGGTTTCTCAACATTAGTCTTGGCTCCCCTACGGTTCACGGAGAACAAAACAACTACCTACACAAAGTCGGAACAACGAACCCTGCTCGTGGCTTACATCCTCGCCCAGAGACGTAGTGTAATCATCAGCCCACTCTCCAGTATTGCAGCCCACATGCTGTCGAGCAAGCCCGGGATGCAAAACGTGGCATTGCAGGTGGTGTCTGAATTCGAAGGCGTGGTCAACATCCTGAGAGTCTACCGGCGAACTCCACGCTGGTCATGCAAGTCGACCTAGGTGAACCACAGGGCGAAGTTGAAGTCGTGAAGGGATCAAACCCGGTGGGGAAACAACACCAGTATCAGGTTTGCACTGTTTACGTGCGGGTGGGTGTCGACTCCCCACACCAATCTGCAGGGGTCACCGTGACCGTGGAAGACACGATATCCTGCACTAAGATCTTCCTACCCGACAACATACACTTCATTGGGGTGAAGTGCACCCCCTGAGAAATTATCAGAAAAACATTTGAACCTATCATCGACCCAACATCACGCTTAATGATCTAGGGACACAGAGGGGTTCGATAATTCCCGCGAGGAGGATGCCTTTATACGCCCTACACTTGAACGACAACGTATAGGCGGGCGGCAATGGACGATCATCGACCCAACATCACACGTGGGGACCTAGGAGGCATAGAGGGATTCGATCAGCCCGGCGTGAACGGCACCTTGTACGCCCTGCGTTTAATAGGCGACGTGTACGTGCGGGTGCCTCTGGAAGACGACTTTAGAGAGCCCAAATGGTTGATCAACATGACCCTCACCACACCTTATATCTTGTTCCACAAAGGTAGGGGTGTCGCCGAAATTAAGAACGGTATCTTGCTCGGGGGTTTCATCCCCATGGGCTTTCAGAGTATAAGAGTTTCCCAAACACCAAATCGCCCGGGCTACGTTAAATACAACCAAGGATGCACCTTTAACATTTACATTATACGCTGGCCTACTACATTCAATGGTTATGCCCCCAGGCTCCACATTCATCATAGAATTCTTTTTCGGAGACGACATTGAGGGGGCTAGGGGGCGGGGTCCCCCCTGGCGCCTTTTACCTGGGGTGGAAATAAGATGGCCACATTCATCTTCATTTACGGACCACCATTGTCGTATCATCATACAATGGAGCTCGGACCCCTCACTGGGGTTGCTTCCCCCCTTAATAAGCAACCATATAGTTAGTATAGAACAAGAGTTACCTATTGACCTTTCCACTATTCACCTACACGAGAACGTAGGCCTTATAAGCCTCAAGTACATTGATCAACTATTAAATAGAGCCCAATTAAAAAATATCTTGTAATATATATTATACGCACAGGATGGGGCTGTACCCAGTCGTAGAGGAAGTCGCAAAGACACTGGAAACCGTAGACGGGTTCCGCTTTGAGGTAGTTATGCCACCTAGAACAAGACTCGTGATTAATACGGAAAGCACTATGTAAGAAGTACCATAGAGCTTTAAATATCGGGACGGGGCTGATACTGTCCTTATGACAACCAGCATGGGACTAGGGCGGCAGGTGTTGTTGTTGGCCAATATCGTGGCCGCAAATCTATAGTGCTAGGCATTGAAATAACAGGTGGGTTGTAGGGTGGTAGGGTTGGTGTTTAAGTTTGCATCAGCAGACTACACCGTAAGGCATTGAAACACGACGAGATCAGGGTTCTGGCCGAAGCAAAGCTGAACACGGTAAGTGAGCGTATTTCCACGGCACTCACTGACAGTAAGATCTCAGAGGAGGAATTTCTCGTTCAATCCTCTCTGAACTCGACAAGTACCGTAAGATGAAACAAGAAATCCGGTCAAAGTCTCGTAAGTCTGCTATCAGCGAAGACGAGAAAAAAAAGTACATAGAACAGGGGGTACGAAAAGCCCAGCAAGCCTTCATTACGAACACCAAAGAGATCATAGGCGATTCACATTAAACTGTTTCATCGAGGTCAACACGACATAGGGCGATCACAATAGTGCCACGTGATCAGGAAAGTGTCAGTTCGCGGTCATAGTGACCAGGAAGTTAACTGGGGGTTCAAATCTGGTATATACAATAGCGGGGAGAGATAAGGGCCTGACAAAAGCTTTATTTCATAAATGAAGCTTTACAGAGGCTTTTGTTGGAAATTATCTAGTACCCCCATTGTGTATACTACTCTCTGGCTTCCTCACAAACATGGTATGACTGTTAACGATTGTTCTTGTTTCATTATTTTTTTCTCAAAACTGACAAGGAGGTAAGATTCCATTTATGTATTTATGTCGACACTGAGATACGTTTATAACATCCCATTCTAAATTCCAGAAGTCAAGATAAGATATGAAAATTCCAGGAATTTGAAAAATTCGCTCAAAATGTGCCTTAGATTGTAGGTAGCAATGTGGTTTAGTCTTCTCCAGGATCGAGCAGGAGATTGGTGGTAGCCTAATGGTTAAAGCGTTGGCTAAAGACTTCTCCCCTACATGCCCACGGTTGGTCAATGTGTGAAGCCCATTTCTGCGTCCCCGTATGTTGTTGGAATATTGCTAAAAGCGGCGTAAAACCAAACTCAGTCAGTCAGTCAGTCGAGTAGAGTATGCCAGTAACCTTTGGTCGTGAGTTCGAATCCGAGATTGGCGCTGATATTGCTTCATGGTTTTTCTCTGTGTACCAAAGCCAGGCTTACGTTGGACCTTTTCGCGCACATTGAGCTGCCATTCTCAAAATAGTAATAACGCTGATACGTCCCTCACTCAGTGTATCCTGATTAAGATGCAGATTCGAACTGGACCCCAGCAACCTAGGTCTAAGCGGCGACCTATCGTGTGATCATTCTCAGGTGCAGTGTTGTTCATAGTATCAATCACTGGTTTGCCTCCATTATTTACAGATCGGGGGCGGTGGCGTAGACTAGTTGTTAAAGCGTTCGCTCGTCATGCTGAAGACCCGGGTTCGATTCCTCACATGGATACAATGTGTGAAGATCATTTCTGGTGTCCCGCCGTGATCTCGCTGAAATGTTGCTAAAAGCGGCGTCAGTCCAAGTAAACTTAGGCTCAGTATTATTCGTTACACTGCTATACTGAGTCTAACAAAACCTAGTAGAAGGTCGCATCAGCTAACCTTTTGGACTGACCAATCAGAACACAACTTACCAAATCGCGAAAGTTAAATGTCACATGCAACGTAAAACACAACTTTGCAGATTCTGATACCTTTCGGTATGGACTTACCGAAAAATCATCAAAATTGCAAAATTCAACTTATAAAGTGAAAAATAACGCGATGAAAACAACAAGTTTACTTGGACTGAAAGCGGCGTAAAACTATACTCACTCACTCAGTATTTTACAGATCGCCGTAATATAACTCGAATATTGAACACCCCTGAATGGTTAGAACTGGCCTTCAGCAGCCCATGTTTGTCGTAACAGGCGACAAACGTGATTGGGTGCTCACGCTTGTATCGTATCCCAATTGCGTAGATTGGTGCTCATTACGTTGATCACTGGATCGTTTGGTACAGACACGATTACTTACATACCGCTGCCATATAGCTTGGATATAGCGGAGTGAGGCGTTAAACCATTACCACACACGCGCGCACGCACGCACGCACGTGTGGAAAAACCAGCTGTCATCTCGAACATTTATGAAAAACATTCTGTTGGCTCTCCGCCAGATAGTTTAGGCGAGACAGGAAACGTCTAAAGCGACCCATAGTGTTCATTTCAACGTCCCTTTCAAATGCTTCGTCACGTAGCACTGTCCCTGTTTTTCCTTGACGAGCAAACAGATTATTTACATTTTTAAATGAAATGTACCGTCATGTCTTCCCCTCTCAAACATGAATAAATCATCGGATTGCTTGCATAAAAGTAGGCAATCAGTCACAGAAAACTATTCTCCTGGAAACAATGGACAAGAGCAGCCATTTTAGCATTGTGTATTCTTGTACAGATCTTCAAGAGCCAGTCTAAGTAAACTTAGGCTCAGTATTATTCGTTACACCGCTATATTGAGCCTAACAAAACCTTGATTGAAATAGAATCGGTGTCACACACACCAGTTGTTAAAGCTATAAGTAACATCTATGGAACAGTTTAGGTTCTTATTTCAGCGCCAATCAACTGTGTCAGTTTATATATTTTGTATATTTCAGCGGCCATGTTCACCTTAGCCATTTTTATGTCCTTTCTTGCAATCGGGTGAGTTGTCGAGTGGAATTGAATTTTCATACTCTAATGTGTATGTTTTGATTATTTCATTATAGCAAGTTCTGTTATATACATGTATGTGTTTGTGTATTCAATCTATACTTCAGTAATTAATACTAACTAATACGCGCATTTATGATGTTTGAGAGATTTGATGTACATTTCATATATTATTGTTTCATTACTTGCTGTATATTTTACTCTAAGTGCTTATAACGAACTACGGGCGGTGGGTAGCCTAGTGGTTAAAGCGTTCGCTCGTCACGCCGAAGGCCCGGGTTCTGATTCCCACATGGGTACAATGTGTGAAGCCCATTTCTGGTGTCCCCGACGTGATATTGCTGGAATATTGCATAAAAGCGGCGTTAAACCCAACTCACTCACTCACTATAACGAACTACTGTTATAATTGATAGTTCATTTGGGTTCGTTATACGCGTAATTTACTCTCGCACAAACAAAACTATTTAGCAGAATTCAGAAATGCAGGTTATAAAGCATAATTTGTGTACATTTCGTAAATAGCGACGAAATGGTTTGATTTTACAGGCTCAGTGAGAGCTGGTTGAATACGTGTCGTCACAGCCAGGCAACGTGGAACGTTGCTCGCAATATCAACCACTTTGTTTATCGGGTTTCGATAATTGCCAGGCCGCTGCGTGTATTAAGAATGTTGCCTACTAGGATTGAATCAATAAATGTAATAATGATATAATGTATCACATCGGTGGTGTTTGTTTCAGTCTGTGCTACCCATCAGGTCACGTGGGGACAGCAAGGAAGCGAGGAGGCTGTTCGAAATAGCTGATACAGATGGAAACAAGACCCCTGACACAAGATGAATTTCATGCCATATTTCTGACTTCGATCTTGATTGTAAGTTGTGGTCTGAACGAGTCACAGCCGTCAGCCACTTTCGAGAAAAAATAATTTCACCCCTGTTGTTATACGAATACTATTGCTGACGTCATTAATACAGAATAGATGAGGTCATACAGACACCAGAATGACGTAGAGGGCATGCCATTGTTGACGCAATGCATACACCATTTGTGACGATGCCAATAATCTGTTTTGACGTAGTATTAGTATTATTATGTTTTACAGATTAAAGATAGTATGCAGCAGAGAGGGTTCGGGTGATCCTGGCACAGTCAGGGCTGGTAAGGCTCATCATCAGCCTCAGGGCTCTTTGCCCCTCTACACGCAGCCCAGACAGCGAATGGGACTTATCCCAGGAAACGCTGCCTAGTCGAACCCACCAAGAACTTTCCTGAGAATATGAAGGTTCTCCTAACACTGCAGCTTACTGCATTATCCTTATTATTATTATGGCTGCTATTATACTCCATGCTATTGTGCAGTTTGATGTTATGATTATGTTTTTATTGTTATTATGACTATTGTTATTAGCATTATATTTGTTATATTTGTCAGCGGACCACCAGGTAACCAGCAATGAGTTCGTCACAGACTGGGCAATCAAGAACCTCGACCCCCAAGCGAAGCCATCATCGTCCTGTTCCACAATATTGACGTCAACAAGGACGGCGTCATCACCGAGGATGTTGATTTGCCTCTACATCTTCCACTACTTCGACCAGGACGGTAAGCGACGTCCCTTTCTGTGCATCTAGAGTTTATGAGTGGACGTTGTTTGCAGGCCGATGTTGTACGCCGGGTTTATCCATGGCTGCGGTACAAAACAATAGCCATGCCCTTAAGATGTTGTTTGTTGTCAACCTAAGGTTTGCCTGGCGTCACAGAAGCCTGAATAACATTGGAGTGAGTGAGTGGTTTGTTGCTTAACACCGCACACAGCAATATTCCAGCTCTATGGCGGCAGTCTGTAAATAACCGAGTCTGACCAGACAATCCAGTGATTAACAGCTCGATCTACGCAACTGGGATACGATGACGTGTGTCAACTAAGTCAGCGAGCCTGACCACCCTATCCCGTTAGTCGCCTATTACGACAAGCATGGGTTACTGAAGATCAATTCTAACCCGGATCGTCACGGGTCTGAATAACATGGCAACAGCTCAAACAGTATTTGTCACCGACACGTTTTCCCGTGCATGGGCAAGCATTTACACTCGTAAATAAGCCTGAATCGAATAACATGAAGCGAACCAATATCTGTTGCTGTCTTTCTTTAACACCGTGTCGCAGTAACCCTTTTCCCTGTTGCATTTTGTATATTATGGGACAGTGGGGTAGCCTAGTGGTTAAAGCGTTCGCTCGTCACGCTGAAGACCCGGGTTTGATTCCCTCACAAGGGTACAATGTGTGAAGCCCATTTCTGGTGTTCCCCGCCGATGTTGCTGGAATATTCCTAAAAGCGGCGTAAAACCATACTCACGGAATGAGCTTCAATAATATTATATTCATCAGTTAGTTTCATGCGATGATGAACCGATTAGGCTTACCCATCGCCCCACGCAAGCGCTGAAAAATATGCGAAGTTACGCCCAGAGTTGTGGGTAAGTAGCGCTGATGTTTTGGGGCGGTGGGGTAGTCTAGTGGTTAGCGTTGGCTCGTCACGCCGAAGACCCGGGTTCGAATCCCCACAAGGGTACAATGTGAAGCCCATTAGTGGTGTCCCCCGCCGTGATGTTGCTGGAATATTGCTAAAGCGGCCTAATGCCAAACCTCAGTCAGTCAGTCAGTGCTGATGTTTTGACGGTTGTATTTATGTATTTATTAATTAACTTTTGACTTACTGGATTTAACTTGTGTATTTTTCTTTCAGAAGACAAGTTGATCACCGAAGCTGAGTTCGTCGTTCAGTGGGTGAAGATGTCGGTATCCTAGTCCCAAGCGAGACTTGAACACAGCTTCTATCTGAGTGTATCTGACATCTTCTGAATTAAAATCTAACCGAAATATCAAGTTCATCTTGTTGTTCTTTATAAGAGTTGTCTCACCCTGGTATTCCGAGCCGTGAATTTCCAGCTTAGAATCGATCTTCAGTAACCCATGCTTGTCGCAAGATGCTAACGGGATCGGGTGGTCAGATTCGCTGACTTGTTTGACACATGTCGTATCCCAATTGCGTAGATCGATGCACATGCTGTTGATCACTGGATTGTCTAGATTATTTCAGACGGCGCCATATAGCTGGAATATTGCTGAGAGTGGCGTAAAAACTAAACTCATTCAATGGTTTTGCCAGAATCTTATTATCGTGAGTCCTAATCCTTTATTTTGATTGTTGGTTTGTCAGGCTCAGTTTTGGTAATTGTCTAAAACCAGATAAATTTGGATGGGGTACAACTACTTGACTTTTGCTCACCAGACAAGTGAAACTTTTATATCTGCGTGTCTGTCCAGAAAATTTGCAAACCTGCTTAGAAAGAAAGGTGACATTTCAAATTGTAGCATGTTTGGTGAATGTGAGTTACTTGTGACTCAGCATGCATGTTCCATTTTTCACATCTTGAATTTAGATCAGCTATGCACTTACATTCTCTCAGCATGCGATGAACCGTGAAGGTCCGGGTTGAATATTGATCTTGAACAGTAACCCATGCTTGTCGTAAGAGGCGACTAACGGATCGGGTGGTCAGACTTCGCTGACTTGGTTGATCGATCCCCTCATGCTGCTGATCACTGGGTTGTCTGGTCCAGACTCGATTATTTACAGACCGCCGCCATATAGCTGGAATATTGCTGAGTGCGGCGTAAAACTTAAACTCACTCATTCCCTAAACATGCGATTACTTGACAGCAAAACGATAACTAACTGAAAACGTACACAGAAAGCCTTCCGACACACGCAATTCGGGATATGCATCGTCGAGATATGTGTAGTTTAGATATAGGCATTATGAGATACATTATGTCGACAATAGCATCATGTCGAGATATGCATCATGTCAAGATATAGATTATATTCAGATGTGTATCGTGATATCTATAATGACCAGATATCTGTTACGTCGAGATGTGTGTCATGCGTCGAGATAAGCATGTAGTCGAGATAAACAATGATTGAATCGAGTGTATCAGTAACGGTTTATTTGACAACTCAATATAGACATATGAAGACGAGGACCCAGCCTGCTAGACCCCATAGTTGACCCCAACCCCCATATAACGGTACAGGGTTTGACTGACCGTCTTGCCACCCGTGTCCGAGTGGGCAAGCTTTAACGGACTTAATTCCACCCACCGACCGTTGTCAAGTCCACACGGGCAATTGTCCACACACTCACTGTTAACCCGCGACCCCAGGGTCAATACCACGGTACATGTCCAAAAATCCACTGACTGTTTGCCTAGTGTCCCAAAAGCCAGTATAACGGTACATGTCACCACACACTTTACTGTTGACCCGCCATCCCTAGGGTCAATTATAACGGTAATTTTGTCTCAACATACCGACTGCTGACCCGTGACCCCAGAGTCAGTATAACGGTACTTTGTCTCCACCCACCGACTGCTGACCCGTGGCCCCAGAGTCAGTATAACGGTAATTTGTCTCCCACCCATCCACTGCTGACCCGTGACCCCAGAGTCAGTATAACGGTACTTTGTCTCAACCCATCCACCGCTGACTGTGGCCCCAGAGTCAGTATAACGGTACTTGTGTCTCTTAACCCATCCACTGCTGACAGTGGCCCCAGAGTCAGTATAACGGTACTTTGTCTCAACCCATCCACCGCTGACCGTGGCCCCAGAGTCAGTATAATGGTACTTGTCTCCACCCATCCACTGGGCTGACCGTGGCCCCAGAGTCAGTATAACGGTACATGTCCCCTTAACCCACTGACTGCTGGCCTGTGTCCCAAGAGCCAATAAAAAGAGAAAGTGCATGCCTCCACCGCCCTAATCCCGTGGCTCTCAAGGCTAACAAAATGGCATGTCTCCACATACAGTTTCCGGCACGAGCTGCTATTGCAAATATTTTTACA